GGCTTCTCTGTGTAAAAGCTTCTGTGTGCAAACGCGTCTGTGTGTAAAAACTCTCTCTGCCAGGCCTTCTTCGTGTAAAAAGTTCTGTGTGAAAAAGCTCCTAGACGTTTGTGTGCGAAAGCTCCTTAGAGTAAAGACTTCTCTGTGTAAAACCTTCTGTGTGTAAAAAGCTCCTTTGTGTAAGGATTTCTCTGTGTGTGCAAACGCGTCTGTGTGTAAAAAGCCCTCTGTGTAAAGACTTCTTTGTGTAACAGCTTCTGTGTGTAAAGCTCCTTAGAGTAAAGACTTCTCTGCGTAAAACCTTCTGTGTGTAAAAAGCTCCTTTGTGTAAAGACTTCTCTGTGTAAAAGCCCCTGTGTTTGTAAAAGCTTGCTGTGTGCAAATGCTTTTGTGTGTAAAAGCTCCTCTGTGCAAAGGCTTCTCTGTGTAAAAGCTTCTATGTGCAAACGCGTCTGTGTGTAAAAACTCTCTCTGTCAGGCCTTCTTCGTGTAAAAAGTTCTGTGTGAAAAAGCTCCTAGACGTTTGTGTGCGAAAGCTCCTTAGAGTAAAGACTTCTCTGTGTAAAACCTTCTGTGTGTAAAAAGCTCCTTTGTGTAAGGACTTCTCTGTGTAAAAGCCCCTGTGTGTGTGTAAAAGCTTGCTGTGTGTAAATGCTTTTGTGTGTAAAAGCTCCTCTGTGTGAAGGCTTCTCTGTGTAAAAGCTTCTGTGTGCAAACGCGTCTGTGTGTAAAAACCCCTCTGTGTAAAGACTTCTTCGTGTAAAAGCTTCTGTGTGTAAAGGCTCCTAGACGTTTGTGTGCAAAAGCTCCTTAGAGTAAAGACTTCTCTGTGTAAAACCTTCTGTATGTAAAAAGCTCCTTTGTGTAAAGACTTCTCTGTGTAAAAGCCCCTGTATGTGTAAAAGCTTCTGTGCGACTCCTCCATCCAGCTTTCTTTCGGGTCACGCTGTCTGCAGCTTCAATCTGCAACATTGTTTCTTGTGGAAGAATGCAAAGAACAGGTGAAAGCATCGCAGGTTAAAAAATTGAACATAAACAGCGCACAGAGTGCTGTAATTTACAGCATTTTGCGCTGTCAGATGGCAAGAACCCGCGTAAATACCACAGTTTTAGTCCCCGAAAGTGGCTAAAACACTGTTATTTACAGGGTTTCGTTCACGTCACGATCTTCGATTTTTTGAGAAACGCGTGAATACCAGCGTTTTTTGCGTTCATCAACGCAAAAAATCGGTCCAAATAGGGAAGAAAATGCTGTAATTTACAGGTGTTTGGCGCCGCCACGGGTAAAAAACTGCGTAAATACCAGCGTTTCGGCGTCCAAAAGTGGCCAAAACACCGCTATTTACAGTGTTTCGTGCCTTCCACGTTTTCTTGAAATTGCAAAAACCATGTGAATACAAGCATTTTTTGCGATCAACCCGCCCAAAATGCTGTAATTTACAGTGTTTTTTTGCTGTGCTTTCAAAAACACTGGTATTTGCAGTGTTTTGTGCATCTCGGGTCCAAAAAGTATTGGTATTTACGGCATTTTCTGCGTTTTTGCATGGCTCCCGCGAAAGACGTTAAAGCGCAAAAATGCTGTAATTTACAGCACTTTGTCCATTTCGAAAAGCTGAAAATCGTCCGAAAAATGTGTCAAACGGCACTTTTTTCCGATTTTAGGTACCCTCAAAATCGGGGGGGGGGCGGGATTATGCTCTTGGAGATGCTTATGAGCGACCCGGATTCCGGCCAAAAAGCTTTCCCCCACCCTCCTGAAGGATTTTTGGTGTTTTTCGGGGCCCGGCGTCGGAGGGTCGGCGGCTTGGGGCGCGCCTCACCTTAGAGCTCTAGTCGCTCTGGGACGCTCGTAGGGCAAGCCACTCGTGGGGAGCCGGCGGAGCCGAATTTATGAGGCTTACGCCTGACAGCCGGGCGCCGGCCAAAGCAGACCCATGCGTCGGGTGTAATCCATGTCCATGTTCTGGTGTTGTTGGTGGTGTTGTTGTTGTTGTTGTCGTTGTTGTTGTTGTTGTCGTCGTTGTCGTTGTCGTTGTCGTTGTCGTTGTCGTTGTCGTTGTTGTTGTTGTTGTTGTGGTTGTTGTTGTTGTTGTTGCTGTAGACGCTACGTTGCAGGCAACGCGGGGGATAGGACAACAGTCGTGTGGAAGACGGGGGCCGGGACTTCGGGCGTCCCGGCAGCATCCTTCGGTGGAAGGGGGCTGACAGCCCGGGTGTACCCTAGGTGCACCGAAGTCGGGAGAGCCGTCTGGACTTATACCGTATACCAGCCAGTTATGGTAAATTTGGGACTGGTTTAGTTTGTTATGATTGCAATGGTCTAGCATATAGTCGGTTCGCCGCAGACGGTGCGTTGTTTCAAGTGTTTTCACCGAGGCAACAACGTTGGATGAGTAGAAGTTAGCAAGTGGAGGGGTACAGAGTTACGAGGGGCAGTGATGGGTAGCCAACATGCTTGTTAACCATACATGGCAGCATCCCCGTTTGCAACCTTATTGGTTATCAGTGTTTAGTGTGGTTAGAGACGATCAAAGGCATTTGGAAACCACGGCCATGTCTGCGTCTGTCTGACGCGTACACGGCGGGAGCGAGCGCAGAGCAGCGCTCAGCGCTGGCAGCGGCGGTGGTTTAGGGCTGCAGCTTGGTGAAGAAAGGCTCGGCGTGGCCGGTCGCTACAGTGCATCGTAGTCGAACACGACATCGAGGTAGGTGTCGTGCCGGCTGGAACGGCGGTGCTTGGGAGGGAGTAAATTAAGGGATCGGTTATTTGTTGCTGGTTTGTGGATAGCTTATGGACGGTAAAATTGGTGGCTTCTGCGGTGAGAACCCATGCAGTCTTTTAGGTTCATAAGTCGTTACTGCAAGGAGTATTTTTTCCCAAGCTGCAGCTCTACATCAGGCTCACATCAGCCCGCGTTCAGTCAACATCCAGCCATCCCCCTTTTTTTGTGGCTTTGGTTTCCCCGGTTTTTCGTGTTTGATCGAGAACATCCCTGTAAGCAACCTGTGGTTCCAAGCTGTAGGTCGGCAGTGTTCTTTTTGGAGACGGTCGCATGCAGACTTATTGCGTTTTGGTGACAGGTGTTCGAAGGCGAGTCCGGCGTGTTTGCTGGCGGCATGGCATGTTTGTGGTAAGCCAGCATGTTTGGAGCCCGCAAGTGCTCGTTTCTCCGACATGTTTGCGATGAGTAACGGCTCGCTTAAGAGAGACTGGAGGGAACTGACTGCCAGAGTACAGAACTGACGCGGCTGCAGCAGCACTGCATTAGGATGACTGCTGAAAACTGATCGCGTGACTGCTGAAACATGGTGACAGGTGCTCTGGGGGCGACTCCGGCAAGTTTGTGGGTGGGCCGGCTAGTTTGTCGCAGCTCGCTTAAGAGAGACAGGAGGGAACTGACTGCAAGAGTACAGAACTGACGCGACTGCAACAGCACTGCGTTAGCATGACTGCTGAAAACTGACCGCGTGACTGCTGAAACATGGTGACAGGTGCTCTGGGGCGACTCCGGCAAGTTTGCGGGTGGCCTGGCTAGTTTGTTTCAGCTCGCTTAAGAGAGACCGGAGGAAACTGACTGCAAGCGTACTGAACGGATATAGATATAGATATATATATATATTAATATATATATATATATTATACTTATCTATATTTTTTTTCGTTTGGCACTTAAGTCAAGGCAAGGAGTTCCCGGCGGCGGGCGGCATGGCCGCACGCTGACCGGGGAAGCTGGCAGGGCCCCCCTGGAGAAAAGCCAAAAAGTTTGAAGAGCAGGGAGTTCCCGGCGGTGGGCGGCATAGCCGCACGCTGTCCGGGGAAGCTGGCAGGGCCCCCCTGGAAGGAAGTAGAGAAGCAGATACTTTTCCAAGCTGCACACGTACAGCAGCCTCATCTGAGTTCAGTCCACAGCCTGTTACTCCTTTTTTCGTTTTGTAGCTTTCACCCGGTGACTTCTCCACTCGTGAGTCGGCTTTGGCGTTGTTTGTGCAACGGCTCGTTTGAGAGTGACTGGAGGGAACGGACTGCAAAAGCACAGAACTGAACGTACTGCAGCAGCACTGCATGAGTTAGCATGATTGCTACAAACTGAGTGCATGGCAGCAGAAACATGATGACAGGTGCGCTGCGGGTGACCTGCCTTGTTTGTCGCACCTCGCTGACGCGAGACCGGAGGGAACTGACTGCAAGAGCAGAGAACTGAACAGACTGCAAATGCGTTGTATTAAAGGTGTGGGAAAGTGATTCCACAACTCTGGATATCTGGTGACAGGTGCTCCATCGCCACTCTGGCTGGTTTACTGGTGGCCTGGCTCGTTTGTTGGTCTCCGAGACGTTTTGAAGAGCCTCGACAAGGATTGCACACCCTAGGAACACCTTAGTGACAGGCAGTGGGCAACTAGAAATGCGACCCCCCAACTGGCCACGTACTCAAGGTCACTGGGCTGGGGTTGCGGCGTGGCTGTTGCAGTGGGTTGAGCGTGGGCAGTTGACCGAAAGCAGTGTCTCGGAACCGGTGGTTGAAGTAGTCTGTGAAAAAGCTGCAACGAATGTTTCAGCAAGTGTTTCAAACACACCGAGGGGGCTAAACTTTGAACAGGGGACAGCAAACACCGCCACTGGTAAAGAAAGTCGAGCACGCAGTTTCTCCGCGGCTGTTGCGACAAGGCTCTAGGCTAAGCAAAGAAAGTCGACAGAGAAGTAAACACAGACACCCTTCACGACTAGAAGTAACACGCACACCCTTCACGAACGGAAGTAGGAGACGTAGGCGTAGGAAGTGTAAAACCGGAGCACTGCAGAAAGACATAAACGTAAACAGAGAAGAAGTAGGAGGGAAAATGTACTGCACAGAGCAAACCCCGACAAAGGAGCATTGTAGAATTGGAAAATGAGTGGAACACTAGCAGTTGTGCTTGTAGAAGCAACGGAGCCAGGACAGAATGAAGCACGTCACCACAGAAAACGAATTTGCACTGCACGATTGTCCCAAAGTGGACCTATGACAGAGTGGGATGCCAGAGCCAGTGCCATACTGCGTGAGCATGCTACCAAGGTAGCTGTCTACAGCATAGCAGTGAGCATGGTGTTCTGGCTTGCTTCCCGGGTCAAGAAGCATTGCTGCGCGCAGCAACAGTCACTGCATGCTTACATAGTCCCGTTTTTTATAACTAGTTAGCAGAATTAGCTAGTTACTTACTAATTATAAAACAGTTATAAGTCTTTATAAGGTGTTATAACTCACTATAACATAACTTAACTAGTTATAAAGTATGCTAAGTAGTTAAGATTTTTATCTTAATTAATAATTTTAACTAACTTTTAACTAACTAACATAACTCTTGCTAATTAACTTAATGTTTAGCCAGAGTTAGCTAGAGTTAGCAATTTTTTTCTCTTTGTATATTCTTATTTTAAAACATATAGTAAATGCTTTGCATTTCATGAAAAAATGTGATTTTTATGTACATTCATTGCCTTGGTGGCATTGCATCAATGTGGTTTTGCTTGTTTGGTAAGGTTCCATCAGGTGCCTGAATGGGAATACATCCACCATGGTTCAAATTGCAACAACATGTAGCCATTGGACCAGATACAAACGACATGAAGGTAGACATCCAAAGGGTTTGCACCATCAGTTGCAATGATGGCAAAGCTATTCCAGTGCCTGCCACCTTGCTGCAAGAACATGGTGGTCGCCAGTGGCTGAAGCTCAGACCCACTTCCCAACCCATTAACCAAATGGTGTATGGCAAAGTGGGCAAGAATGCTTCCTTTTCCAACCATCCAAAGTTCCAAGACTTCATTGCCAAGAGGAACCAAGTATGGGCCAAAGAAGAAACAGAGGACCAAGTGTGGGATGCTGCCAATGAAGATAAACCAAAGCCATCAGCCAAGAAGAGAAAGAGGGAGGATCCAGAAGCGGTGTCAGTTCCCCTGGCTGGAGTGGCCATCTCTTGCTTGATGCAAGGCCAAAGGCCAACCAAAAGTGATGTGGTTGTGCCACTGGAAGCAAGCCAGTTGGAACCCATTTTTGAACTTTTGCAGGAAGATGCAGACCAACTGAAAGCCAGGAAACCTTACCAGAGAAAGGTTCAGCAGGAGCAAAAGCAACCAGAAGAAGCAGCTCCCAATATGTGACAATTTTGAAGGCCAAGTGCAAGCCAATGGCTCAGTTGGAAAAAGATCACTTGCAAGTGCTTGCCACCATGGCATTATACATTCAGTGCCTGGTGGCATTGCATCAAGTGAAGCAGCCAATATGGCATTGCATCATGATGAATTGAGCACCAAATGAAGCACATCCATTTTGGCATGTGGTTGCACATTGCTTGGTGTGCCATTGCTTCATGGATTCTTGAAGCCAAGGAAAGCCACAAGCATGACAGGTAAGACAAAAACTAGTGCAACAGAAACCAGGTACCAAGGTTTGCACCACATAAGTCAGCCATGGCTGCTGCCCTTGCCAAAGACATGGTTGACCCACAGTGTGTTAAGGCCATCAATGCCTTGCTTGCAAGCATGCTACCTGTCAACCAGCAGGTGGACCAAATGGTAGCTAGTTTCAAAAAATATGGCTTGGCTTACACATGCACAGTCAACCCAAGTGAAATCCTTTGCCATCCCCACAACAGAGCCATTGAAGTGTTGTCCTGGGTGGACATGCGGGACAAAGGCACCAAGATGTTGAGCATTGGGATGAAGAAGCAATTCTTGGGAGAATCCATTGCCATAGAGATCAGCACTGACAGTACCACCAGAAAGGAGCAGCTGGAGGCCAACCAGAAGCTGATCCAGGAATCCACAGGGGCCATGGCACCCATGAATGGCACAGAACGTTTCTTTGGCAGCATTTATGTTTTGGTTCTGAAATTAAAATTGTTGTTTTGTTTCAACATGCACCAGCCCAGGCTTTCTGAGCTTGTCCACAAGCCACACCACAGCTTTCTTGAGGGCCATCAACCATGGGTGTCTCCCAGAAGGGCAACCAGCTTGTATTTTTCAATATATTTGGTTAGGTTTGATTGTAAATCCATTATCTTCAAGTAAATGTTGTTGCCAATAGTTTCCACCTGCTTTTATTGCAGCCAGACTGTCAAGAGTTTCCATTGAATCCATTCCCACTTGGACTATTGGGTGAGCCATGGTCAACATTTCCATTGATGACTATACCATCAGTGAAGGACCATTGGGACGCCACTTGGTGCTTTTCTTCAATGATGGCACCAGCCAAAGGTAACTTGGATGTTATAGCAAGTAATCCATGGATTTCATTGCATGCAACATCCAAGCCACCATAGGGTTTCCATAGTTGAAATGGGGGCTAAGGTACCCAGTGCCTGCTCCCAATCCAGAAGGGTCCATGAGGACCAAATGGACACTGGTGACCAATATCAATGGAGAGAAGATCCAGCATAGGGTCCATCAAGCTCCAGGCCATGCACTCCAGATGATTGAGGTGGAGTACTTGGCCAAGCTCATCCATGGGAAGCCCATTGAGGAGACCACTGCATTGGTCCACCATTGGTTCAATTGAAACCATGTTGGATTTCCAGACAAGAGCGTTGAGGTTTAAAAAAAACATCTGTGTTTGATTTTTTTGCCATCAATGGCATTGCACCAATATTGGTATATATATATAATGTGTATATATGGTAATTAAAACTATTTCCTTTTGATTGTCAGTGATGACATCCAAGAACTTGCCAGTGATGGCATTACATCAGACATACCATAACTACATGTTGCCATATATGGCATTGCATCAGATATAGCATAACTAAATGTTGCCATATATGGCATTGCATCAATGTGTGTGTTTTTGTTTTTTTTGGTGTGGTTTGATTTGCCATTCATGGCATTGCATCCATTTATTTTGTTTCATGGTTGTCATTCATGGCAGTTCAAGTAAATATTTTGTTATGATTTCACTATGGTTTTGCATATTCATGATTGTGAAATTGGTTCATACATGGTTGCAATTTGGCTTACCAACATCATTTTTGCCATTGCATGTACAAGCATGCTCAGCGATAAATAATATATAGTATAACATTAGAAAAACAGTTAAGTTCAGAATTCTGAACTTAACTTCAAAATTTCCAGAGTTAGGTTCAGAATTCTGAACCTAACTTCCAAATTTCCAAAGTTAAGTTCAGAATTCTGAACTTAATTCAAAAGGTTCAACATAAGTTCAGAATTATGAATTTATGATTTTGATTCTTTTGGGATTATGTCTTGTGAAATCATTTACAAATAATTTTATTAGTCTAGAATAATTCATGGTTGATTCAGGTATGTTTGTTCTCAAATAATTATTTATATTTCAGCATATATAAATTTATATATATAGTTGAACAATATTACTACTAAATATAAATATATATACATAATCATTTTATTTACCAATTCGACCACAATCTCCCATAGCCATGGCTTCTTCCCATGATGATGTCACCAGGTCATTTTTGACCACAGGAGACACCATAGAGAACCAACATATCATGGAAGGATGGGAGAGGCAAACCATGGCCATGTTTGACAGGCCACCAGAGCCAGATGCAGATGCCTTTATTGCCACAGTAGAAAGAGCCATGATGGCAGAAGAAGACCATAGGGACAGGACTGGAGACCATAGTTGGGAAACCACCCAGATGGAAACAGAAGATTTGGCCAGTGCCCAGGCCATGGAGGTCCAGTGGTACCAGGACCAGGATGAACACATGGAAATTCCAAATGATGCCTCCAGCACATGGGACAGGTATTGGGACCACTACCCAAGACCACTCTCCAATACACCATGGTGTGGGGAAGCAAGGGGGACAGTGGCATCAAGTTTTGCTTTTTGTGTGCCAACATCAGGGCCAGTGGCACCACAGAAGAGAACATGCATGAGAATACTAGAAAGTATGACCAGCTAGTATTGACCACAAATGGCCAAGTTTTAGAATCATATGCTCAACTGCATGCTAGAAAAGCCATTTGCACCAAAGCCAACTTTGAGCTTTGGGAAAAGGCCACAGGCTGGACCTACAGCCCCTTGGCTTTGATGTTGGATGACCAATTGAAAGCCATGAAGTTACTGCAGCCTTGCTCCCAATTTACTCATGATTACATGCATGGTGTCTTGCAAGGCACAGGCCCCATTGCATTGTTTCATTTTTTGTGTGCCATGGACACAGAATTGCAGGTATGGCAATTTTTGGAAGGTTACTTTAAGCACTGGACTTTCCCAAAGCAGTGTAAAAGCCAGCATGTGGGCACATATTTTTCCAAGAAAAAAATGGTTAGCCACAAAAACAACCAAAAATTTTCTTGCCAAGCTTCAGAGCTGCTAGCAATCTTTCCAGTGGTTCGACATTTTGTCCATGCTGTGTGTATGCCAAGGGGTCTTTGCTTGCCAGCTAGCCAAGCATGCCTTGCAATGGCAGCAGCCATTGACCAAGTTCATGATGGAAACCAAGCTGGTGTCATCAGCAGAAATACTCTGCTGCCAGCCATAGAGACATCCATAGAAGGTTTCCACACAGCATTCCCTGCCATACCTTTGATAAAAAAAAATGGCATTGGCAACTGCACTTGCCAGATGCCCATGCCAGATTTGGAAAATTACCAGGTTGCTTTGCCAATGAGAGAAAGCACATGCCCATTGGTGCCATGGCAACTTTGCTGCACAACCAGAAAAATTTTGAAAAAAACTTGCTGGAGCAGGTTCTGGCACAAGAAATGTGCACCTTGGACACACCAGATCTGTTCCAAGATGGTGTGTTCCTAGTGAACCCAATAAAAGCTTCCAAGAAGACATTGCAGACTCTCTCCAGCATGCTTGGTGAAGCCATGCCCCATGCTCTCACTAGCCAGCAGGCAAGTGTGAACCACACTGCTTGCCACAAAGGTGATGTTGTTATTTACCAAGCAGGCAGCACTCTTGGCATTGCAGAGGTGCAACTCCATTTGCTTTTGAATGGTGTAGTGACCACTTTGGTCCAGCCTTGGCAAGTGAAAGAATGGTTTCCAAACCAGCAATATGCATTGTGTACCATCGACACCGACCCAGGATTTGTCACCACTGCCAGCATCTTGACAGCTGTGATTTGCCATAAAGGTCATCCAGAAGCCAAAGTGCTTCTGCCATATCCCATTTGCATCAAACTATTGGCTTAAACATGTACCAAAAAAAATTACCCAGCTGCTGCCAATTTTGGCATTGCATCATCAGCTTGGTTTAGCACATTGGCCCCACATGGCAATTAGCATTTGACATGTTGCCTGATGTGGCATTGCATCATACAAGTGACAGGTCTTATGCTGTTTTTTAGTTTTTTAGTTGGGAGGCTATTGGAACATTTTGTTTTTGGAAGGCATTCTTTTGCAGCAATTGGTGTGATGTGCTGCATGTGTTGCTTACTCTTACTTTCCTTTTGCTACAAAATGCGGATTCATTCTTTTTTGAATAAACAGCTTGATTTCAAATGATTCTTTGTACGTATTTGGTTTCATTCTTTGTTACACAATGTTCATATTGAATTACATACTTTCTTTTTGAACATACCATGACATTCATCCTGGACAATTGTCCCATATATATGGCTCAATGTTTCTCTTTGAAAATTAAAGCTTTGGTAGCCTGTTGATGCCAGCAAACCTTTTTTTCCTTGAAGTGGAAAGCGTTTTTTCTTACATTCAAAACAACACAAAAACAGAGTTAGCAAGAGTTATAACTAGTTAGCTAACTCAACATAACTCTACATAATTAACATAACTCTACATAACTAGTTATAAAAAACGGGACTATGTAAGTGCTGCGCAGAGCCAGGGGTCGCGCAACCGATCCAGCAAGCACACACACTGGACGCGAAGGGTGCCTGGGAAATATACATACTTGACGTGGGGCATGGCTGTAATCTCGGCAAGATTGTGCGCCAGCACAAAGCAAGCAGATGTCCTGTTTGCAGTAAATCTCTTCACCTGTGTCTTTGCATGCCAAGCGCAACGTGCTCTAGCCAGTGCACGCCTGCGCAGTGGGTGGGTGAGGAAAGCACGTCGAGTGGGCAAAGCTCGGGTGAAAGCAAGGCGGCAACCAGGTTCGCCACGAAGTAGACTGCAAATGGTCATTGCCGCCATCTTCTTGTTCTCACCCGCCAGTTGGGTATGTGTGGAATGCGTTTGCCAGGGAAACATCGCAGCAGTGCAACCAGTCAGGAACGCATGGGCAACCGCTCGCAAACTGAGAAACCAGTTGATGCGTGCAATGCATGGCAACACGATGAAGAAAGCCCACAGACGACAAGCAGAAGCGTCCACACCCAGCCAATTCATAGAAACGAGTGCCGGCAGCAATCACGTAGCTAGCAAGACAGCCAGACTTGCAGACGCAGTGGATGCCGCCTCCTCGCTTCGCGCACAACCTAGCAACCCGAGTTGCCAGAAAGAAACGGAGGAGGATGAGGACCGGAAACTTGCCGTCCGTGTGCAGACCCGAATAGGGTGTGAGCTAATCAGAATCCCTGGTGACGGTTGGTGTTTTTTCCATGCAGTACTTCGCCATTGTTGCGGTTGGCAGTCGTGGTCGATACCCGAAGCTGCAAAGTTATACTTGCAAGCCTTAGAATGGATGTGTAAGCAAAAGAATGGACCCAGAGCAGATGAGGTTGCGATTGCCAGTGTGCCGTTTGATGACCGAGAAGCGGGCCTACACCTGGGGTTCCTTCAGCAAGCAGAGCAGTTGGAGGCGGCAGAAGGTTTGACAGCTGCCGAAATCGTGCTTTGGAGTAAAGTGGTGGCGGTTTTGGAAAAGCCACGGATGTTAGATTCCATTCACCATGGCTCAGTGGTGGAATTGTGGGCACTGACACAAGCCTTTGACTTTCACTGTCTCATTTGGAGCCAAGAAGATAACAAAAACATTTGGATCCGGGACATGGCCTACATCACCGATGCAGAAACACAACAGAAGTTGCAAGAACATCCCAATGTCTTAGAACTTTTCCACCGAAACACTGGCATCACCGGGCACTATGACCTCGTCCAACGAGCGGCAGCATTGCGCGAACCATTCCCTGAAACACCATGGTTGGAAACATGGAGAACACAGAGTGCAGAAGCAGTGTTGTGTCTTGCTGCAGAAAGCCTCCGAAACCCAGTGGAAGTGTCACCCATGTCGCTGCAGAGTCAATCATCGCACGTGGCAGATCAGAGTGCAGTGTGCGAAACGCATGCCGCAGAGGGTGCAGAGCGGCCAACGGCAGGGTCATCCGGGCAACCGCAGCGGACCAGCCGCACCACTGCGACAGAATCGGATGCAACAGCGCGGCAGCCAAATCAGTCGCAGCAGGTGCATGACACAACTGAAGCCGACAAAGAGGCAGCCGCTGGCGTCTGGGCAGGGCATGACGACGCAGAAGCGTCGGAGGGTGCAGCAACCGACGTGGATTCCGAAAGTTTGCTTTCCTGGGATTCAAACCTGTCCGAGACCACAGGTGAGGCTGAAGTAGAAGTCGCCGTGGACGCGACAAAGACATGGGTCACTGTCGAAGATCGTGACCAAGAACGCATTCGACGCACAGCATTCCAACTGCGACAACATCCCCTGCTGCCATCTCCAGCCGCGATGAGAGAATTCCCCACCATGCAGCCTAACAGTGGTCTTGTATACCCAGCCGTGCATTGCGCCTTTGAGGGATGCGGGTGGGCATCCGACACACAACCGTGCAACCCGCACTGGTCGAAGGAAAAAGTGTGGAACATGAAAGCAACAACATGGGCACACACTACAGTGCAGTGCTGTGGAAACGGGGTGGTGTGTTTATGGGCACACCTCGCTGAGTCTCATTCTGAACACTTTGCAGACATACCCCGGGAACTTGTGGCTTCAACATACACTGCTGCATTGATAGAAAAGGAACGTGGACAGGTCCCACAAGTTGGCTGGAGCGTCGATCGGCGCACGCTGCGGCGACTACGGGTCGATTTCGACGATAACACTTGCCAAGCATTGATTTGTGCCTGTTGCGCGCGAGTGAGTCCTGGGGGCATGGGAGGGGAGATTGCCTACATATCTGTCGAACAGTTATTCAATGCACTGACCCCAGAAGCCGTCAAAGCAAATTGGAACCTGGAAAGTTACATGACGCAATATGGTACGCTGGCTGCTGTGACAAATCGTTTCGACGCACATGAGTGGACTCGAACCCTGCCAGAAACCATCTGCGACGGCATGCAACTCATATGCTGCCCAGAAGATTTGCGCTGTGGGCGCTGCACCGAAAGTGCACTGCAACTGTGCGAGGCTTGTGAACTGCCATTGTGTCGCAATTGCCTGGAACACATGTGCAAACAGAACGCCTGTGCAGTGCCAGAGGCCCTTGCAAACGACAATTGGTTTGGATATCCAACAGAGTTGCTGTACACCCACAAAGTGCGGTGGATAGAAGCAGCGGCTGCCTCGCCTGTCTGGACTTCCGTTATCAATTACTACCTCGAGGCCGACCGAGGCAACTTGATCGAGGAACACTTACATCGGCCCGAACACAGGACAGCAATCCGAGGCAATGTGTCTTCCTTTAGCATTCCATGGGAAGAGGTGCTCGCTGCACTGGCCCCCGAGACTCGGCGGAACACTTCATGGGAAAAGTTGCCTCACCCGCCACATGTCCTCCAAGCTATTGTAAAAGTCAATGTGAAGGGCATGTTATACAATGAGGCAATCGAGTGGGTAGCAGGGGCACGCATCCGACCATGGGTCGTCAGTGCACTCTTGCATCACCTCATCGACGTGCAACATCCAATGTGTACGTCGCACTTGTCGGCAGAGGAGGCAAAAACAGCAGTGACGCAACGTGTGACTTTGACCTATGGGGTGGACGAAACAAGGCCGATAGTCGACTTGAAGCAAACTCCTTCACCTACTGTGACATCAATGGGTTCGGACCTTTTCGGGCCAAAATCTCGGCAAGCAGAGACTGAGAGCATGGAGGCGGAAGCTATCCAGAGCCTGGCTCAAGAGATTTCCGGTTCCGGAAGGACAACTGCACCGCGGAATGAGGTCAGTGCAGGGATAAGACGCCAGAGCAGCGCTCAGGCAGCAGCCGGTGTGCACTCAGAACCAACCATTTCAAATAACCAGACTGACTCTCTACCGATGAGCGGCAAGAGCTCGTCTCAGCCAGCGTTTGAGGTGCAACACCTCGAGCCTTCCTGTGTGAAGACTGCATCCCCAAAGCTAGTTTCCCAGCTGCAATCCGAAGAGGCAACCCATGTGTACCGCAAAACGTTTCCACAGCATACAAGCCAGAGCGGGGAGGACGCAACCATGCACGACATGCCAACCCACAGAATGAACCAGATGGTAGCAGAGACAATAGGTCAAGGCAGCCCGCAGGTGACAGCCGAAGTCGGAGCAGAAGCGGCCTCGTCACAGAAGCAAGAAGTTACAGTGCCAACACCTAGCCAAGGCAAATCTCAACCAATGACCATTTCAAATAACCAGACTGATTTTCTAACGATGAGCGGCAAGAGCTCGTCTCAGCCAGCGTCTGAGGTGCAACACCTCAAGCCTTCTTGTGTGAAGACTGCATCCCCAAAGATAGTTTCCCAGCTGCAATCCGAAGAGGCAACCCATGTGTACCGCAAAACGTTTCCACAGCATACAAGCCAGAGCGGGGAGGACGCAACCATGCACGACATGCCAACCCACAGAATGAACCAGATGGTAGCAGAGACAATAGGTCAAGGCAGCCCTCATGTGACAGCCGAAGTCGGAGCAGAAGCGGCCTCGTCACAGAAGCAAGAAGTTACAATGCCAACACCTAGCCAAGGCAAATCTCAACTAATGCATGCAAAGCCTGCGCCGGATGCCTCGCCGGGCGACAACCCATCACCACAGGTGAGAGGCCAGAGCAGCGCTCAGGCAACCACAGCAGACAAAAGGCACGAAGATGCCACTTCGGCTCTTCCGAGCCATTCTAGGAATTTCTTCGTTGCCAGTGGAGACGCAAGCCAGCCGCTGCCGCAGAAGCATGCAACGCCCGAGTCAGTTGCAGACACAGCTTTGAATGGCGAATCCTTCGTGGGCAGTGTGAGACCCAACGTCTTGTCACAAGATTATACGGGAGCAGAGTGGAAAGACCCCGACGTCGACATGTTGTTGCAATTGAGCAATGCGACGGACACACTCACCATTCGAACCGGGCACAACTTCTGGGACCAGTGGCAAAATGATTTTCTTCCATGGGCCTTTCCTTTCAGCATCCCCGCACCCGTCAGTGGTCCGGACTTTCCCCACAAAGAGCGACCACGGAGGCCCGAAGATGCGCCGCACTTGCAGCCCTTGGCACACTTGAAACTCCTGGCCGGACGCATCGAGAGTTCGCTTCGCAACTCGTGGGACCTGATTCCCGGGCTGCGAAGATTGACTTTCAAATGGCACTCCGTGTGGCAAGGCTCGCTTTGGCGGAAATGGAAGTCGCAAAAGCAAGGCATTGCACCGGTACCAACGCTCAAGTGGGTGCAAGCGGCACGCGGCCTCTACAACAAGCTCAGATCCGGCACCTATCTCACTGCAGGTGGCAAGCCGAAACCCATCCAGTTCGATACACGGAAATTGCCTTATGCACGAGGCCTCACAGTAGATGAAAAAGAATTGCTCCAGGACGTTAAAGGCATGCAAGGCCATATGCCTGGAACGATTGAAGTACGACGTCGCATTGGACGCTTCCTCTTCGGGGCCAGGGTTGAGATGGGAGAACCCCTCTTCATCACGATATCACCTACAACCCGTCATAACACCTTGTGCATCAAATTCAGCCGCTATCGCGCCGCTGATCCAGGCGGAGCCGAAGAAGGAGCACGCGATCGCCCCAAGCTATGGGACACCGCAGAAGCGAACATCGAAGTGCCGCCTTACGACACCCGCAGACAGCTTGCTGCGAGGGATCCGTGGGCCGTCGTTCTCAGCTTCCAAACAGTGGTGCGGTGCATCTTCGCCAAACTGCTCGGCATCCGCATGTGCTTTCGTTGCCCAGCATGCGATTGCCGCGATGCACGCGGACACGGGTGTCATGTGACGGGGGGCATCCTTGGCCTTGTCACCGGCCTATGCGGGGCAATCGAATATCAAGCCAATTCCACACCGCATTTCCACTGCAACGTGTACATCGCTTCCATTTGGCAACATTCTTTGAGTGAACTTGCAGCCAAGCTGAATGACAGCACCATCACTTTCGAGGACGTGCGCCAATTCTTGACATGGGCACACGCCGAATCTCATCCTGACCCAGCAAGCCATACGCAACAGCAAGACCACCTCGAAGCAGACTGGGCCCAGAACAACTGCAAAGCAAGCCACGATTTTTTGTGTCAGTGGCCACAATTCCTTACCGAAGACAAAGCGGCCAGCCCATGGGTGAATGCAGCAGTGGAACCGAAGCAGGCATTGGCCGACGCAAGTCGTTTCATCCACCAATATCGTCTCGCAGCACAGAACAAGATCAGCCACCAGCAAATTCACTGGCATCCGTGGAACATCGTGCAAAAATGTCGGTTGCCTATAGCCGCTTGCCGAAAGAAGGGGGCGCCAAACAAGTGTAAGCACAATTTTCCAAAAGTGCAGAACGATAAAGTTCGAGTGATTTGTAGAGGGAACGCACGAAAATTTGCCCAGAGCACTGCCGGGCGGCGAAATGCATTAGGCATGGTCTTAGACAAAAGAGACGATCCGTGGTTATCAGGCACAATGCACGCATTCACCCTCATGTTATTCGGTAATTCACACACTGCAATAAATTTCCGCGTGCCTCTGTCGGCAACCACTCACGACGAAGACTGCAAGCGTGGCTGCTTGGCAAAAAACATGCTCCCAAAACTCCAACGGGCAATGGCACAAGCAGCCCGCCGATCCACCAGATACTTCACCGGCTACTTGCAGAAGCCGCAGCCGTTAGGCAAAAAGGAATTGCAACAAGCAGCCAAGCAATTGCATTTCCTGGAAGAAGCAGCTGCAAAAGATGACGCTGCAGCACACTACCGCAAAGTTGTGCACCGAGTCTTTGGGGACCTCGAATTTCGTTGCTCAGTGCGCCCGGTGACCGAGGAATTCATGCTTGCAGGCTTTGGCAACATGGCGGATCCCACCGCGGCCGAATGCATCCGCACTTTCCCCGTAGTCCCATTTATAGGCATGGACTGGCTCAGTATCTTAGACTCCGTAACAGAAGTGCGGCATAAAATAGAACCCCCAAACCCCTATAAAACCACCATTAAGACATCGGAAATTTATGGCTGGCGAGGGACCGACGAGCGGGTGTTCCACTTGTGTCCGTGGGAGTTTATCAAATGGTGGAGTCTAAAAAAATTGCAGCCGCCCACCAAAAATGCAACTGAAGACGGACAAGGGCTCAGTGTTTGGGTGAGTAAGCAAGGCACCGACAGAAAACCTGTGGATGGCTGGCAATATGGCCGTGATTACATTTGGAAACATCCATTGCCAAACAGCCGAGCTGCCAACCTTGTCCGGCTACCGCAGTGCCATGGATGCAGTCGAGTGCAGGATTACTATGTGGAAAGACGGACCGAACCGCTGATCCCATATCCGACGACATGTCCGTTGCCGAAGCCCGACATGTCCAAGGATGCACAGGCGAGGCTCCTGAATGTCTATCTGAGGCCCTGGACACTTGATCTGAAAAGTGCTACCCCGCATGTTCCGCATATCAGTGCCTTAGACTTAGAGATAAGAAGTAATAGTCTCAACCCCGGTAAACGCCTGTTCACCAAAACCGCACCGGGTCCAAGAAGTCACCACTTAGCATGGAGAGCATATATCCAGCACCATGTTGTGTCTGAGCATGCAGCTCGCACTATTCGAAACTTTCTCTCCGCAACGGAATGTGATCCAGAAGAAGTCGACCTGGCCGAAACACTTGCCAAGCCAACAGACCATGAAGTGGATACGACCTGGGTAACGTCTGACACCATCAATAAACTTGTCCGAGGCGTGGGCTTCGAATATTCGAAACGGTCAGGTCCGGCGGTACGCCGCATAGTCGAGGAATGGGAAGCTAGTCCGCAGGTTGATGCACTAAACTCTTGGTTTGTAAACACTGGTATCACGGACATAAAGCTTGACCGAATTCAAAGTAAAACGCAGCAACCGACACCGTGGTCGGAGACCGAACCACTGCGCTGGACCTACGGCAGATTAACGCCAGAGGCTGCCACAGCATGGTTGCAGCGTCTCGCAGAGCAGGGCTCGGTGGCAGTCGATGCAGCCGCATGCAGTGCAGAGCAGCGCTCAGCCAGTGCAGAACCGCGCGCAGCAAAGGCAGAGCCGCGGTCAGCATGTAAACCCACAGCCGAACAACTGAAATTCCTGCGTGCGGTCGTTGACCGCTGCCTCACAGAGGCTCAAGAAGAACAGGCCGAAAGTTCCCGCAGTGAGCCGTTGCGTGCAGTCTTCCACGGGGTTCCAGGTGCAGGCAAAACTCAAACCCTCAAGTGGTTGCGTGCTTTTTTCGAAGATATGTGTGGGTGGCAGCATCAACAAGAGTTTGTATACTTGGCACCGCAGAACACCCAAGCTGCACTTATTGCTGGCATGACGCTACACTCGTTTGCCAATATCCAGGTGAAAACCAAAACGGCCCGAGCAAAAAACACCAGCACACCGGAACAGTTCGCTAAGTATCAACGACTACGGTGGCTGGTGGTGGATGAATCTTCGACGGTCGGGCTCGAAATATTGGCCACTCTTGAGAAACGCCTGCAGCAGTCTACCAGAGATCGGGATACGTGGAAACTTCGGCCAGGAGGACAACGGAGGCCATTCGGAGGGCGCAACCTCATCTTGACGGGGGACTTGTGGCAGTTCCCGCCCGTCAAAGCCACGGCCATTTACCAGAACCCTTTTCAGTCAAACACAACCTTCCAAGTCAACGCACTGCAGCAAATATGTTGGTCGCACACCTCGCTTGCCATCCCGCACCTCTTTGAACTCACCCTCGAACAGCGGTGCGAGGACGCCTGGCTCAGCCAAATTCTTCACCAGGCGAGGCATGGCAACATGTCGCAGGAAGTGTGGTCTTTCTTACATGGGTTTCCAACACTCCATGCGGGCTCGTGGTCCTTCCAAACCAATCAAGCCACCTGCGGCGAAAAAACTTGCAACAACCTACATCTGCAAGCCACCGCCCCCGACCAGTTGGAATGTGTCATTTGCCACCAAGAAAGGGCACGTCGGTGCATCGTAGGCAAAGACCCAAAAGCTGAGCATTTCCTCAACCATCCGTTTGTGCATGGGTTGAATGCCGCCAAGTACATTGCAGCCAACCTTCGTGCCAAATGGGTAGCCACCACTCGCAAACACAAGTTGCTTTGGATCATTGCGCAAGATACCCCGCTCTTTCATGTGGAGGCCACGGAACTACAGGCTCGGCGCGAAAATTGGTTACAGCGCCATGACCAGTCCACCGGCGGTGTCGTGGGAATCCTACCACTTCTCCAGAACATGCCAATCCGAGTGACGCAAACTTTGTCTGACCTGAAAGCCTTCGGGCTCTTTAAGAACACCCGAGGCACCCTTTGGAATTGGACACTCCACGAGGCCGACCAAGAGCTCGTGGGAGCTGTAGCCGGCCAAGACATTGTATTACAACGCCTTCCACGGGCGCTGTATGTCAAGGTCGAAGGTGCGAAGTGGCAACAGCACCCAGACTTGCCTGTTGGGGTCGCTCGAATCGAACCCGTCACCCAGACGTGGACACTCGAAACCAACGGCAAAGCTACAGTCTCCCGACGCGGCTTTCCAATAGCATCCGATTACGCTGGCACAGCGCATTCTTTTATGGGGGCCACCCTAGGTGCATGCACCTTAGACCTTGGTACCTGGGATGCCACGACGTCCCGCGAGGCACAGCTTAGCGGGTACATGTGCCTGTCCAGGGTCCGAAAAACCGAAGATTTGTGCATAGTCCAACCCTTCTCCCCCAACTTGTTTAGTCACGGAGAGTTAATTGGACCCCACACATTCTTAGAAGTGCATCGCGAAAAGCTGACACTGCCAGAAGCAAAAGCTCGCTTTGAAAAAGATAAGCCGAACAAGCAGAAGAATCGTGACATCCTTTTGTTTTGCCGCGGTTGCAGTCCACAACCGCATCGACAAGAGAAACTGTTGCCACTTCGAGAATTCGTTTCGGCCTGGGACCAAGAGGAATGGTACCGTGTACTGTCAGACGGCATGTGTCGCCTTTGCACCCAGTGTAAAACGAAGCAAAGCAGCCCTGCAGCCAAGGTGAAGCCCAAGACAGTGAATGCCTGCGCATATTGCCAGACCTTGCCAGCCGACCAGACCGGCTATTGTTCGAAGTGTGCCAAAATTCGCTTAGCCTGCAGCAAGTGTGATATCGGGAAGAAAATCAAAACAAAAAGCCTGCTAGATTTTAGCCCGGACGAAATCGCACGAAGAAAAAAAACCAAAGAACTCCGAAGAGCACGCTGCAAGAAGTGTGCTGTCACCCCAGTGACAGCAAAGGCAAAACAGGGTTTGTGCAGCAATTGCAACAAAGCCGTCAGTGTGTCCCACCTGGTGAACTACAGTGCAGCATCCCAGACCGGCGTGTGCCGCAGCTGCGTAGCTAAGCAAGAGCGGGCACCCAAGACCTGCGCAAACTGTGCTCAACCCTTGCATGCAAATGCAACTCCAGGCACTTGGTGCACTACCTGCGCATTTCCGCCTTGCAGTGGAGGTTGTGGGCAGCGCCCCCAAAAAGCATCCAACCATGCCAAACAGAAATCCGACTGGTATTGTCAAAACTGCAAGGGAAAATGTGGCAACTGTGGCAGCACCTTGCCGCGTAACGCAGAGGCTGGCACATGGTGTGCCACATGTGCATTTCCACCATGCAGCGGAGGTTGCGGCGCGCCACGCCCCGAGAGACGAGCCAACCATGCAAAACACCTGCAGAAATGGTTTTGTCAACAGTGCAATGCGGCGAAACCATGTGCGAACTGTGCCGGCCCATTGCCGAGCAACGTGCAGGCAGACACTTGGTGCGTCACATGTGCATATCCACCTTGCAGCGGAGGTTGCGGTGCGCCCCGCCCACAGAAAACAGGGTACCACGCCCAGCAGAAGCCACTTTGGTTGTGTCACGCATGCAGTGTGCGCAACGGTTACCCGCCGTGTCCAATGTGCGGTCTGCAACGCCCGCAAGAAAGTCGCTACCATGTCAAAGTCATGCCGCACTGGACCTGCGAAGCCTGCACGGAAAAGTCTTGTCTCAAGTGCGGGGAAGTTCTTGGTTCAAAAGCTCAAACGGGTGCATTGTGTTTAGCGTGTGCATATCCACCATGTGAGAGCTGTGGGTCACAACGGCCGCGCAAAAGTGGGTAATTACCATGTCACAGCCATGCCGCGCTGGACCTGCGCAGCCTGCTCCGTCAAGTCTTGTCCCAAGTGCGGGCAAATCCTTGGTCCAAAAGCTCAAGATGGTGCATGGTGTTTAGCCTGTGCATATCCGCCCTGTGAGAGTTGTGGTCGTCCACGGCCAAGGACGCACAGTGAATACCATGCGCAGGTCATGCCAACATGGACGTGCGAGGCGTGCAGCGGGAACAGCCTTACGGGGGTCCCAAAGAAAAGGCTTCGCAGAGGTTAGTCGCCCATGCATCCGACGCCAGCCAACGGCATATGACATTGTTTCCATAGCCCAACATGAGACAAGCGAAGCTTCCCAGTGACAGAGCCGCCAGAACAGAATACCAGCCCGGCGGCGTCCTTTGGCAAACCCAAAAAAAGAAAACCACTTAGCACGCCCACCCCCGCGGAGCGTTACTCAGCGCCTGCCTGAGGCAGACCATCCATGCTCACCTGCGGCAGTTTCTTTTGGCCAACCGAAAAAAAGACGTTCGTCCAGCGCCTGCCCGGGTTTTTCCTTGCCGGCAGAAGTCCCGGAAGCCATGCACCTCGAAGAGTCCCAGCCATTTTAATTGAGCCACCGGAGAAACGGACACGGAGTTCATTCAGCACCAGCCACGCAATGTCCTAGCCAGCGTGCACCTATGATAGGAGCCCAACTTAGCTTTGCCCCCCCGCTGATATATCGCTTTCCCGCCCACTATTTTCGAGGCAGTGCCGGTGCAGCCGATCTAGCCTACGTGTCGCGAACGGCATGTTCGCAGGCAGCCTGCTGTAGCGTTGGTATAACCTTACGCCAGCGAGGAACCATTGGTTCACCAAATGACAGAGATCAGCCATTTTGCGAACAGGCCGAGAGGAACCATTTTTGCTGCCACCGTATTCAGAATCCACGACAATGACCAGCCAGTTCAGAACATTTCTTTCTATAGGCCCCAAGCCACTGAATAATTTTCCCCGGCATAGTCCCACGAAGCCACAGGGCAGAACTGGCAGAGAGGAACCATTTTTGCGGCCACCTTTTTCAGAATCCACGACAATGACAAGCCAGTTCAGAACATTTCTTTCTAGAGTCCCGCAAAACCCCAAGGCAGCGATGAACCATTGGTTCACCAAAGGACAGAAGTCAGCCATTTTGCGAACAGGCCGAGAGGAACCATTTTTGCTGCCACCTTTTTCAGAATCCACGACAATGACAAGCCAGTTCAGAACATTTCTTTCTATAGTCCCCAAGCCACTGAATAATTTTCCCCGGCATAGTCCCACGAAGCCACAGGGCAGAACTGGCAGAGAGGAACCATTTTTGCGGCCACCTTTTTCAGAATCCACGACAATGACAAGCCAGTTCAGAACATTTCTTTCTATAGACCCGCAAAACCCCAAGGCAGCGATGAACCATTGGTTCACCAAATGACAGAGATCAGCCATTTTGCGAACAAGCCGAGAGGAACCATTTTTGCTGCCACCTTTTTCAAAATCCACGACAATGACAAGCCAGTTCAGAACATTTCTTTCTATAGTCCCCAAGCCCCTGAATAATTTTCCCCGGCATAGTCCCACGACGCCACAGGGCAGAACTGGCAGAGAGGAACCATTTTTGCTGCCACCTTTTTCAGAATCCACGACAACGACAAGCCAGTGCAGAACATTTCTTTCTAGAGTCCCGCAAAACCCCAAGGCAGCGATGAACCATTGGTTCACCAAATGAAAGAAGTCAGCCATTTTGCGAACAGGCCGAGAGGAACCATTTTTGCTGCCACCTTTTTCAGAATCCACGACAATGACAAGCCAGTTCAGAACATTTCTTTCTATAGTCCCCAAGCCACTGAATAATTTTCCCCGGCATAGTCCCACGAAGCCACAGGGCAGAACTGGCAGAGAGGAACCATTTTTGCTGCCACCTTCTTCAGAATCCACGACAATGACAAGCCAGTTCAGAACATTTCTTTCTATAGTCCCGCAAAACCCCAAGGCAGCGATGAACCATTGGTTCACCAAATGACAGAGATCAGCCATTTTGCGAACAGGCCGAGAGGAACCATTTTTGCTGCCACCTTTTTCAGAATCCACGACAATGACAAGCCAGTTCATAACATTTCTTTCTATAGTCCCGCAAAACCCCAAGGCAGCGATGAACCATTGGTTCACCAAATGACAGAAATCAGCCATTTTGTCAGCCACTGCTTGCAATATCCACGCATAGTCCCACGACGAACCGGCCGAGAGGCACCACTTTTGCTGCCACCTTTTTCAGAATCCACGACAATACGAAGCCAGTTCAGAACATTTCTTTGTATAGTCCCGAAAAACATCCACGCATAGTCCCACGACGAACAGGCCGAGAGGAACCATTTTTGCTGCCACCTTTTTCAGAATCCACCACAATCCCACGCCGTTTGGTTCAGCCTTTCCAGAACTCTGCAAGAGCACCGCAGCCATTGCACCCCCAGAGCAGCGGCCAGAGCAGCGCTCAGGCGCACCGATAATCACCAGCAGCCGAGAGCAAATGACCTTCAAGTAGCTGCGCCACTATGCAAAAGCCTGACCGCACAGCCGCAGCCAGAGCAGCGCTCAGCGCACCGTGCAAAGCAAGGCCTAGGGCAGCAGCCAAAGAACCGCGCCCACGCAGTGTCCGTCGCAGTCAAAAAAAAAGCCGTGCAGTGCGTGGTGTCCCAAACCTGTCGAACTCAGTGTCAGTGACCGCCACCGTGCGCACATCACACCACGCCAGGTCTACGACGACATCGAGCTGAGTCGGTGGGGGCCCGAGCAACCCCTCCCTGTGCAAGACGGGGACCGGGACTTGGGGCATCCCGGTAGCATCCTCCCCAGTGGAGGGGGCTGACTGCCCTGGCTAGCGCAACGCAGCCATAGTCGGGTGAGCCGTCACACAGACAGACGCAGCCAGAGAGCTCGAGATCAAAGAAGCGGTGGTTGCTGTCGTCGTCGTCCCCGGCGTCGTCGTCGTCGTCGTCGTCGCAAACCCCAAGGCAGCGATGAACCATTGGATCACCAAATGACAGAGATCAGCCATTTTGCGAACAGGCCGAGAGGAACCATTTTTGCTGCCACCTTTTTCAGAATCCACGACAATGACAAGCTAGTTCATAACATTTCTTTCTATAGTCCCGCAAAACCCCAAGGCAGCGAGAGAGGCACCACTTTTGCTGCCACCTTTTTCTGAATCCACGACAATACGAAGCCAGTTCAGAACATTTCTTTGTATAGTCCCGAAAAACATCCACGCATAGTCCCACGACGAACAGGCCGAGAGGAACCATTTTTGCTGCCACCTTTTTCTGAATCCACCACAATCCCACGCCGTTTGGTTCAGCCTTTCCCGAACTCTGCAAGAGCACTGCAGCGATTGCACCCCCAGAGCAGCGGCCAGAGCAGCGCTCAGGCGCACCGATAATCACCAGCAGCCGAGAGCAAATGACCTTCAAGTAGCTGCGCCACTATGCAAAAGCCTGACCGCACAGCCGCAGCCAGAGCAGCGCTCAGCGCACCGTGCAAAGCAAGGCCTAGGGCAGCAGCCAAAGAACCGCGCCCACTCAGTGTCCGTCGCAGTCAAAAAAAAGGCCGTTCAGTGCGTGGTGTCCCAAACCTGTCGAACGCAGTGTCAGTGACCGCCACCGTGCGCACATCACACCACGCCAGGTCTACGACGACATCGAGCTGAGTCGGTGGGGGCCCGAGCAACCCCTCCCTGTGCAAGACGGGGACCGGGACTTGGGGCATCCCGGTAGCATCCTCCCCAGTGGAGGGGGCTGACTGCCCTGGCTAGCGCAACGCAGCCATAGTCGGGTGAGCCGTCGCACAGACAGACGCAGCCACTGAGCTCGAGACCAAAGAAGCGGTGGTTGTTGGTATCGTTGTCGTCGTGGTCGTCGTCGTCGTCGTCGGCAGCGGCGTCGTCGTCGTCGTCGTCGGCGTTCTCGTTGTCGTCGTCGGCGTCCTCGTCGTCCTCGTCGTCGTTGTTGTTGTTGTTGTTGTTATTGTTGCAGCCACAGAGCTCGAGACCAAAGAAGCGGTGGTTGTTGGTATCGTTGTCGTCGTCGTCGTCCTCGTCGGCAGCGGCGTCGTCGTCGTCGTCGGCGTTCTCGTCGTCGTCGTCGGCGTCCTCGTCGTCCTC